TAACTCATTCCTATATTATCATAGTTGAAGGTGAGCTTTTTACTAATCTTTGTTGCTAGCTTTTGAGTAAATAATCATATTGGTGATTGGAGATTTCACGAAAATGCATCTTATAGGAAATTCATTCATAGCTGCAGATTGGAATACTGGTAGCGGTAAAGAGTGTCACTTTTCTTTTTGAAGTTTTGCACTGAAGAAGTACTTTGTCACCACGTTGTTCACTTTTTTTTTTAAATGTTATGCAGAATCTGGCACTGCTGTTAAATTTTAAATTTTATTCCATTTCTATAAAAGCACTGTATATGAATGAAGAAATTCATAACATGTCAAACGATTTTACACAACTAATCAGAATTTCGTAGAAGGGAAATCATTAGACTTTAAGAGCAGAGATATCACATTTTCTTTTGATGGGAATGTAATTTCGAAGAGGTTCTGTGATAGGAGTATCGATTTAGCTACTTGCCAAGGAGTATAAAGGAAGATGAATCAGAATAAATAGAATGAATTAATAGTTTGAAATTCGGACCTAAATTGAAATTTTAAAACTTGATTAAAAATCTCAGATATCGGAAGTTTTTCCAAATTTGGCTCACCATGTATCTGGAACGACGACTATCATCCTTCGGATGCAGCATACGAGAAATACGACAGCTTACAAACATACCGCTATTATGCCATGTGGGGTGTTGCAATACTATATCTTTTGGGATTGGTTGTGTTCATTATTTGTTCAATATTTGGTATGATTGGTTGTTGGCGAAGAAGCACAAAAATAGTTCTAACGACTGCATTGCTTATGCTTTTCTCAGGTAACTTCCATGAATCATTCCTTTTTTTCAATTACGATTAGTTGCATATTGCTTGATCGATCAGGTAATTACTACCTTTTAAACCAAATTCATTTTCATTTCTTCCTACCTTCATTGTGGAGCAATTTTTCCACTCAAAGAAATTGAATGTTTAATTTTTCAGAAATGGTTTAAAATTTTACTTCTGGTTGGCAACCTGAATTTATGAGCTTATATTAACGTAGTAGCTTGAGCATTTGAAGTTCTTTGATATCCCTTATCAGCCATTTTCTAGACGGTGCTGTAGGCGTGATGGTCTGCATTTAGGGTGCGCGAGTTTTTTTTCCATGACTGATTCATCTGACTGTCAATTGATAACCACATGCTGCTCAGTATCGCTCACATTTTCTAGCTGTGATTGAGGCTAACAGTCACCGGGAAATAAATCTCGCTTTACTTTATATAGTTTGGCTATAGCCACTTCATACCGCAATGAAATATTCAGGTAGAATGTCCGAGAATTGCAAGATGCCTTGAGTTCTTCGCATAACCATTACAACGATTTAGATTTTAAAAAATCCAATTTCGGAATTTTAATCATCAAACAGTACTAAATATTCCGAGATGGCGACTGCTAAATTCGAATAACAAATTGACATAATATAAAGTGCACCGCATCCACCTTCCATTCGGCATCAATCTCATTTGAACCTAATCACTCTAATGAATAACAGAGCTAACTTTTTATGCAACCATTATTACACAAATCAGTAGTTAATGAGATGGGAAGCGTTTAACAGGTTTGACTAGTTCTCGATTTCATATCTGTAATTCTGTGGAAGTTCCATTAAAATAGTGAGCTTCGAAATTAATTTTAAAATGTTTGGAACAGTGACATCCGAAAGTATAGGATCAGGTATCAAGTAGTGTTATACTTTATTTTGAGGAAATTTCTCAAAAAATTTGATATCAACTTCGAGGAGTTATGGAGGTTCATATGTCTAAAAATAATTATGAATAATTTATTCCATGTAAATGTTATACTGTGGGAGAAATAAACTTCGTACAGTTTGAACGTTGGGAAAAGAAATCTTTCCTATGTAACGCATTATTTTGCAATAAAACGCAATGAAAAAGAAATCAATGTAAAATACAAAATTTTGATTAACCATTTATGTTTAGCGACAAATTTGGTGATATTTTCCCCTTCTTTCTCTTTTTTTTTCATTTGCAAGAGATTCGATTAAGCTCAGTGAAAGAGATTTTTGAAATTGTGCATAAATTTCAGTAATGTTCCTTGCCGGTTCAATGGCATGCTGGCATTTGGTTAATTATCTGGAGAGGCATGTACTCGATATGCCACCTTTCTATAAATCTTGGGAGCCGGTAAGCTTACCAAATGAAATGGTTAAAAAAATTTTTATTTCTATTTTTATAATAGAAAAATGAATGATTTCAATTGAAAAAATTTGCAGATTTTGAAACTAGGGACGCGATTCAGCTATAGCTGGTCTTATGTGGTATCTTGGGTTGGCATTGCATTCATATTACTTGCATCAACATTCATGCTATTATCCTACAAAAAAATCAAGGTTAATTCTGATCATTTCCTAAGAATTTAACACTTCGCCATTGCCTGGTCATTTCTTGAATTCCAATTGACACTTCGAAGCAATTGGCATCTATTAGTAGCACCTATTAACGGACAAAATATTTTCGTGGTATAACGCATGTCATTTTTTTATTATCCGTTTTCAGCAAATCTCTCTTTGCGACTTTGTTCTCATTTTATGCATGTTTAATCATTTCATTATCATTTCTTTCATGCTAATAAATAGAACCATTAGCCGAACAGAGGAAAACAAAAATAGCAGGTATATACACATACATTCACATATGCATATCACTGTTCCAATATTTTTTCTCTTTCGCTATTTCGAGAATGTGTAGAATATTGATAGATCATCATCAGTAATGCATTCCTTATTCTAGTCAGTAAACTAATACATGCATGGATAAAGCGCAGCATTTTGATCACTCTTATATGGTCTAATGTCCATTTTGTATCTATGGTTGATGTAGGGCGGTTTCCATTTCTAAAGTCAAAATTGTGCTCTTTTGCGCTATACAAAAGGCCTTGAACTCAACTGATATCGGCGACGCTCAAAAATTCCACCACATATGCCCGCAGGTTCAATATTTCAGTCCTATCCATCCCTCCCTCCTTATACTTCGTATTTCATTCAACTTGTACAACAGTACAACATTCTTCCTTATCTTAAAGCCTCTCCATAATTTCTTTAGAAGAACAAGGCGAAGAAAATAATGGGACAAACTGAGCATATACATATTACACATACATACTACGTGCTGATATCATGAAATTATTTCTAAACGAAATTATTTCTCACTTTGCTACCTTCTTATTTTTCTCTCCTATTCCTGTTGTCACTTACGTCTTTACTGCATTATTAAATCTCATAAACCAATAATAAATAAATTAGTGCATTAATAGTGAAGAGAGTAAGCCAAACAGGAGCAAACAAATTTTGTGAAAATGGAAAGCCATTTATGATTTCCAGGCTTATTTCGGTCAATTTATCGATTTTCTCCACAGGCGAAACAATCTTTTCTTAACTTCATGGTGAATATAGATTTCCTTTTCTTCGTTCAACTGTAGATATCAGAAAATATCAAAAGCGTCATCTCTTTTATTCCCATTGTCATTTATATTATTGCTATTGTGGCATTAAATTTTTTGGGAAGAAAACACCTACCTGAAGAATTTTCGCTAAAAATACAATACTAAGTCTTGAAATCTGAAATTGATCTCCCATTCTAATTTAAACTTTAAATAACGACTTCCAAAAGTAAGAAATGCCAGTCAGTTTGAATCAGTTTTCCATTATAATGCTTCATTCTTTACACATGACCTGATTCAATTCCTCAGCATACGATCCACTCGTTTCACGATTTTCATTCCACTTTAAACTCTATTTCTCAATTCCTTTGCACCTTTTTCTTTCTCATCTCCTACTTTCCGCCGATATTATTCTGAGATTCCTTCAAAAGTGATTAATGAATATAACATCTTCAAAAAATCTCTGTTCACTTCTTTGACATCACGATCTCAACAGACTAACATTTCAATTTGAAAAGAAATCCGAAAATACTTAACTTTTAGGAGGAAGAAGAACGAGCTTTTGAAGCAAAACATGGTGCATATGTGATGCCAAATTATTACGACAAGTCTTCAGCAATGGTGCCATACGGATATGGCACATATGGCGGTTATCCAACCGCTTATCCGGCCGCCTATTACGGCCAGTATCCGGTAGGTACGGGATACTATGGATATATGACATATGGCCGTTGACGCCAATAAAAATGATGAAAACAACATTCCATATCGACATTCTTAAGCACTGCCCCGTCCCATCCCGAGCATTGTAGCATTTGTAGGTTCAATAATTCTTCCAAAAAACAAGTAGCTTATCTAAAAATTTATCATATTGCAAATTCCCTAACCCGTTTTAGATTTTGTAGATGATTGCCAGATCTGCTTTATGGATGCCACGTGAGAGAGCAAGCTGGTAAGATTAGTAAAGAGTTTATTTAAATTTCATGCCACTTCGCTCAAACCTCATTATTAACCATTCAATTTATTAATGACATCGATATCATAAGACTGCATCGACAATAATAGTACGGGTCAATTTGAGAAAATGCCTGATTTGGTTGGTTAAATGCATTGAATCCGAGACAACAGAGTCCCGATTTTCAACATACTTTAAAATTCTTTCTTATCTGTTTCAAATTCCCACGAAGTAAACCCTTGTCCTTAAAAATACGGTCAACTGGAATGAAGTTCTAACCTAGCCCGAGATTCATAGAAGGAATCATGACTCGAAAATATGAATGCCCAACTGACAAGACCTTTGTCAGCCACAAGCTTATTTACTTCGCCATTATTCTCATTGTTATCAAAACAAATCGTTTGTTTACGATATCTTGTTAAAATCAACACCGTCACCATATAATCGCTTACCAGTCCCTCGCAGAATATGTTCGAAGTCATACAATCACATCAGTTGTCCACACTCAATACTTGTAACAAATCAATATCAGTCACCAGTTAACATCCATCCACAATTCCTACTATGTTCGTACTTCATACCTCAAGATGTGACAGGTATCTGCACAAAGAACGAAGAACACAGGATAACCTTTAATTTTATGGCCAGAACTTTATTTTTTTAGTACAGATAGATTCACATTATTGTCATTCATATCCACTAACAATATCAGCATTATAAAAATTCCGTTATAACTCATTTCTTTTTGGTAATTCAAAATGACGAACAAGTAGAGCAAGATTAGCTAAACAAAATATTTTAACGATAAAATCACTAATAATAAGGAATAATTATCGCAAAATGGCGTATTCTCTTTCAAAGCGTGCCTTACACTAAAATTAAAAGCACAGATTTTGAGTGTTTGAAAGGATTACCAGTATGTCAAGAACTCTAAAGACATTAAAAAAATATCATATTTAACAAGCCAACAAGAACGTGAAACATTAAACATCTATTCACAGTAACGTTTCGCTGCCTTTGCATTTTACAAATATAGTTGCATAAAGCCGCTTTCCACCTCACATATTAACACATCAATTTGTGTTCACTTTTTTATCTTTATTTGTTCCAATGCTGTTAAACATTTTTTTATTGTGCCAACCCTCTGCAATATTTTCGTGCTAAACCTTTTTGGTTCCTTTGCTTATTACTAGCGAACATTTTCGAAGACAATTGTAAAAGAGTAAAACAAGAACATTATAACGCTTGAACCATGTTTCGCCATTTTGAACCATATGTTTTTTACTAGTAACACAATTTGTATATTATCATTAATTATGTCTGTATGATAACTTCCGTTTGTTTATTGTGCGATTTGCATCATTTTGAGCAGTTATATAAATCATTATCCTAAATGGAAGAAAGAATTCGACTGACGATTTAAGGAAAAGTGTAAATAATTTACCTTTGTATTTCATGTGTTTCGGTCGAATCTGTTTCGGAAACGCAGGAGTATATGGATAAACTTTAGCGACTGTTCCAACAGCTTTTGTCCGACCTTCACGAAATACCATACGACTCCCAACAGATAGATACTCAGGATTTTTGATGAATTTAAACGTTACCATATCACGGTCTCCAGTTCGTAATACTGTTTTTGTCATATGTACTATGGTTGCCGTTTGGCGAATCGAGCCAATATGCACTAAAAGCAGAACCTCAAATGAAATTTCTATTTTCAACCTGAGGATGGTGATTTAGTCTAGACTTTAAAATTGGAGTTTATTAGAACAATATTATCGTTCCTCCTTGGTTCTTCGGACCGATTACCAAATTTGCAAGAAATTACTACGACATTTTGAACATTTAGACCTTGGAGATACTCAACTTCAAAAAACATTACTGGTTTTCATCCGTACAAAATGATAATCAGGTAATAGAGGATAAGGCTGGAAAATATACCCATTGCTTGATAATTTTCGGCAATTGTAGTCGGATGATGAAGGATGAGTATTTCAGCATCAAACTGCACTGAGGAAAAGGCGACCATTTTTGGAGAAAGTAATACCATCCCTTTTCGTACTTCCTTTTTATTCAATTTTCTACACCATATGTTGAATTAGGAATTAAACAGTTTAGATAAAAGAAGTTACGACATACCATTCGTACCTTTCCCGAATACAGAAACTTAAAATTCTGTTCAAGAAGTAAGATTTCTCGGAAGATCAAACAAAAACGAGAACCATTAGCTTCACAGAAATGCAAATTTTACCTAATAGAAAATGATGCAGTTTGACCGCATCGTATTTTCGATACCGGCATTCGTTTTCGATGAATGGACTTTATTGGAATTGGGATAAATTCCCCATGAGGATCTGGCCCAATTAACATTGTATCGTTAAGTGAAATCATACCTGAAAATACAAAATGATTATTCTATAGCGTACTGCAAAACAGCATACGAAATGAAATACTTGTTGCGACAGGAAGGAATCTTCAGAAGCAGTATTCAATTTAACAAGAAACAGCAGAACTCACCAGCTATGCATGTGCCTGAGACTACAGTACCTACGCCATCTACCCAATATACATCATCTATTTGGAATTCGGCTGGACTATCCGAAGAAAACTTCCGTCGAAGTGGGATGAGATTGAAAAAGGCAGAAAGTAAGTCCAAATTAGTGCCAGTGACGTTTGATACTTGAAAGATGGGACAAACCCTGAAATGGTCACTTGATCGAATGAAAGTCGGATTTAACAATCGATAAAAACGGAAAACACAACGAAGTTCAATTCTTTACTTTTCGGAAACTTACTTCCCACTGCTAAAATGACTAGCAGCATGAACAACATCTTCTAACGTCTTTATAACAACCGGCAATTTCCGCGCTCCGGGACTTTTCATCAGTTTGTCCAAATTCTTCATCGTTTCAGCCAGAACCTTCAACAATAACAGTTAGATTCTCAATGGACATAGTGTTCTTTGAATGCATTAAGTGGATACTTATTAACAACTTTGTGAACCATCATATACATAAAACCAATTTAATTGCTATACTACAAGGAATATATTCCACAAACACGAAAACCGCGCTAAAGGCTAAATATCTGAAACAAGTGGAAAAACGAAAACTGAATAAAATAGATCTCACCCCCTCAGGACACATATCGATCTTCGTAACGACGATAAATACCGGTACACTGAGGCACAAAGCAAGCGATAGGTGCTCCTTTGTCATTCCAATAATGCCAGCATTCGCACCAATCTTCAGTTACGAAATACTGTTACATAAAGCATCATAATGCATTAAGTAATATATTACTGCCCTTTACCACAGAGTCCTGTGCTTTATCTCATGAACCAGTATTATCAACAGTAATAAAAACTAATTGAGATAATACATAATATTCGAAGAAATACTACTTTCAACATCGCTTATGGCTTGAATCGTTAGCAACAATGGTGCAAAGATACGAGTTCAGCTTCGGCGATGCTGTTCAAAATAACTCGTCAGATCATAAAGAAAAGACGGCGTTTTTGACCAAATTTTAACAATCAGAAATGCAGAAACGTCGGACTGAGTCTGCTATTTATCCAAAAATGCAAATATTAGTCCAATTTCTGTTCCATTTTCAAACTACCATCACAATCTTTATTCCTTTTCTAAACTTCTTCACATTCACAGATAATTTCCATATAACAATAAAACCATGCACTCTTTAACTGAAACTAAACCGAACTTGCTTTAAACAAATATAAGGTGTTTTCACACCCTACAGAAAATTCGCACAAATAAAAAACATACCATCAACATCGTGTAATCCGGAACATGCCCAGTCATTCCAAAGATTGTTGTTTTCAAATATTTTTCGTGCCCTGCCAGATCAATGAAAGTGATCACCTGAAGAGGAGGACGAAACTTGAGAATATCAAATTATCAAACACAGAAAAATTTAATCAGAGTAAAAAATTTAATCAGAGTGAATAAGATAAAAAATCCATTTTCGGACTTCAAAATTACCGAAATACCTTAGCGGAATCATGACAAATAGTAATCCAATCAAGATGTCCACTATGCGAGTCGGGTTTATTGACAACATTACCGCTAATATCGAAACCTAGGATGTCGTTTCCTACGGAAGAAGTTCGACCTGACTCAAATTCATGTTTGTGTCTGAAAGTAAGAATTCCACAGTGAATGGAAGGACACTATGGCTTAGTGATCATACTGATCCTACACACCTGTGATAACAAACCATGAATATAAATTTACCGGAACAACTTCTGTCGAGCTTGTCCACGACCGTCGTCCAAAATGCTGTATGTTAATACGCCCAATAATGTTGATTTCCCTGCGTCCACATTACCTACAACAGCCACACGCACCTAAAACCAAATATAAAATGAATATTGTAGGAGCTTGAAAGCTCTGATTTATTAAAATGCTGAAAGTAATAAACCTCAATAAAATCATCAGGATCTACTTCCTTCCGAACAAGATGGGCACATGTGTAAAGGCCGCCTTGTTGTTTGGTTACTAAACGTGTTGATACTACTCCAGCCCCTTCCAAAAGCGCTATGTGCTTCTTTTCTGACAATTCTAAATCATCTCTTGACAAACCTGCAATAATTTAAAAAAAGAATTAATTGTAAACATTACTTTAAGAAACTAGTTGATTCAAATGCTCACTCAAACAACTCATACCTCGCTCTGTAGTATCCTCAACTGAAACACCGAGATCAATGACGGCCTCACCTTCACCGAGTACCAACATTGACTTGACATAATCGCGATATCGCTCTCTTTTAGAATGGTCTTTACTGTTTGTTAGTGACAAGCCAACAAGGAAATCCTTTGTTATTACACACTGTTCTTGTTCATCTCGTTCATCATTTTCATCTGTTAATTAAATCTGTTAATTTCATCATTCCATGTATTTTCTTGTATCTTACTAGATACTCGAGGGACAATACATATCCTCGTGTATACCATAAAAGCTTACGGGAGAATTCGGCATCGTCGTCATCATCGTCTGCGAATAAACTTGCAGCAGCTGCAGCACTGCTCTTCATCGGATACGGAGTAAGACGACAACTAGAAATGAAAATACCTGACATCGTATCTTCCGTTACTTTCCAACCAAGTTTTGAAAGGCATCGATATTTGTATCAGTAGCGGGCTTTCGCCAGAAAACCTACCTAATGGTACCTGAAGGGGCTCCCCACCCCCTCCTCCCATGCCCAATTTTCAACACAACAAAAAAGCACGTTCATGTTATCCTTTTTAAATTACAAAGCCAATCCTTATCTCGAGAATTCTCATGATCCATCCCATCTCTCATATTACTGTGCTATTCTTTAGTTTTATCGATCTATAATGTTTCCACAATTTTCACTCTCACTTCGCTCGTTAGTCTCAGACGTGACATGGTTTCGGTAATTCCAGTGAGTTGTGGAACTGTTTAGTGAATAAGTGGTAGGGATACCTTCTATGCTCTGTGACACAACATCATGTGATGCTACTCTTTTGTTGAGTATGTTGCTTAGTGCTGACGACAGTATTGTCCTTGTATCATTTAATGTTGTTCTATAAAACATTTTAAAAATAAGTAATGTAAAGGTTTCAGTTATTGAATGTCGTAGATTTTTGAGTTATGAATCCTTCGGTCTCTTTTTACAACGACATTCATTGCATATTACACATATAACTCCCTTTACAATTCATCGTAAGTGGCATTTTGACCTTTTACAGGGCAACAAATGATTGCGAATGAAAATCGCAGCATCGAGGATGAGTTGGCTCTGTTAGTTTGTTCAGTTTTTGTACACACATTTATATAGTTATTCGGCTTGACCAGCAGATAAATCCAATTAAATGCATTAGTTTGGCAACTGGTTGGTTAGTCTTATTTCAAAATTTGATCCAGTGCCATATCGGTATGTAGTTGTTCCTTGCAATATGAGATACGTTGCAGTAAATGATTAGGCATTTGTGGTCCATATTCTGCTCTGCCGACAAAATTTCCCTTTTTATTGTACTGTATTTTTGCAGAAAAAGAAAAACAAGTTTCTTATAAGTTATTTTATGCTGCGAGCATTATGGATTATAATAGATATTCATTGTTAAGATTTGAGCTGTTTCACTAGTAATAACTCCGTTTTACGTAGTGTTTCTTCAGGTTTGAAAAAGAAATATCCTCTGTAGAACCACATACTCGGATTGCAAGTACCGTTACAACAAGTGCATCCGTGACTCAGGCAGATGTTTTGCGAACCTCTCCTAATACAGTTGTTTCTCCCATTCTTAATAATATTTCCACACATCCATCAGTACAGCCATCCATTGGTCCCGCTGTTCGACCTGAACCAAGGCCAGTCATGGGTCCTTTTATCAGCAGTTCTATGGTAGCGAATCCCGTAAATCCTGTAGTGCGTCCAGCACCTCCTCCGTAAGTTTACTTTATCGAAATTTTCCTTGTGCAATTTCATTATGCATATTTCTGACATACTATACCATCATTGCAGTTGTAGTTATTGCTGTCTATTATAGTGTTGCTGGACATCTTTGTTCATTCAAGTCAATATATTTTTCTTCAAATAGCTTATGTTTTGCAGCTTCGTACCTCATGTAATGATGCGTCCAGGTTTTATTCCCCAAACAAATTTAGCCATGCGATTTATACCACCTCAGGTAAAACTATGGATTAATCATTTCTTCATAGTTATATTGATGTTGAATTTGATTCCTTATATTGCTGGATGTAATTCAACAATACCTAATTGAGCACTTTAATGTTCTTTTTAAACTTCAGCTTCGATTACCATTAGTTGGTTTTATGCGCCCACCAGTGCATATACCGCCTCAACCGAGTGTTCTTGAATCGGGACCTAGTTTGTACGAGGATGTAGTGAGAAAGGATGATAGTAAAGATGGCGAGAAAGATGGAGAGGCTGCAACAAGTTCATTGAAAACTCAGGTTGTCGAGTTGTACAAAGTTTTTTATCTTTAATGCCTATAACCTGATCAGTTAAAACATTAAGCATAAAGATTTGACGGTTGGCATCATCAGCTCCTTTCAAAAGGTTGCATGGGGTCGTTTTCGGCGTGCATTTACTTCTCTAGATATGCTGCATTGGAAGACTGGACATAACTGGCGATTCATGTATTTATATTTATTTTGGTTATTCAAAATTCGAGGCCGTATTTAGTGGAAACCAATGTATGCTAGCAAATATATGTTTAGGTGCTGACATCTGACATAGAAGCCATTGCACAGAAAATACATTCCGAATCAACTCATCGCTCAACATATATTGGTCAAGTTATGCGTGGTGAGAAAAGGATGAAACGATTTTTGCGTTGTGGTGGCGGACAGGTAATAAAAATTATGATAAGTGATGGTCTTTTTTTTCTTTACTTAGGTTATATGTTGTGCTCACGCTTAAGAAAGCAAATCTATGTTCCGATTCATCAACAAGTTACAGATTGCTTTCTTGACCTATAATCTCTAGATTTTAGGTTTGGGAGGATAAATCATTGGCAGAGTGGGATCCGAATGATTTCCGCATCTTTTGTGGTGATTTGGGGAATGAAGTATCAGACGAGTTACTGGCAAAAGCCTTTCGTAAATATCCTAGCTTCCAAAAAGCTAAAGTGATTCGCGAAGCTAGAACTAATAAGTCGAAGGGCTATGGATTTGTTTCCTTCAAGCATCAGGATGTCAGTTATTTTCATTTGTTCATTTTGCAAACTTTCATATAGATTACTACCGACCTTTGACTTTGAAATTCTGGCAGGATTTTGATATTATTTGCTTTCAGGATTTCGTTCGTGCCTGCCGTGAAATGGATGGAAAGTATGTTGGGAACAGGCCAATAAAATTGAGAAAAAGCAACTGGAAGGAACGAAATATGGATATAGTTAAGAAAAAGAGAAAGCAGAAGCAGAAACTTGGTTTAGCATAGATCTTTCTTTGTCTGTCTCCACATACAATTCCGTTTCCCTATGTTTTTGGAAATACAACCGATGCATCTTATTACTAATCCATGAAATTACCATTATACTTTCTGTTTGATGTATGTTTTGAAAACACTTAAAGTATCCTTGCAACTGACAAGGATGTTCCCTTCCTACTCTGTTCTGTTTAAGCTGGGAATCATTCTGTATGTGTTACATCACTTCCGTAACTACTTTTGGTTCACTGTCGAATAGGAAAATGGTGATGTTATCTATTAGTATGAACTTTTTCGAATATTGATTTAACGTAATTTTTCATCGAAGTACGCTGATCTAATCTTAAAGTCGTTTTTGGAGTGCCTTAAATGAATTTTGAGGATCCACTGGTTTCCTTCCAGTATCTTTTTTTCTAGCTAGTGAGATGTCAGTTACGAAATCATTATGCATTTTCGGTTTTAATTTAAGATATGCTTATGTACATTCTTTTTTTTTCATAAAAATTTTGCGCCTGTTATGGTTCTGATGTCGTTCTAAAGCTTTAAAAAAAAGTCCTTTGGGCAATTTGGCTTTTGTTTTGTCGACAACTCTTTTCCTGATATATTTTAATAGAGTGCTATATATTGCGTTTTATTTGGAGTATCTTTTATAAAGATATGCTTGTTGCTTGGTAAGGAAAGGTGCGGAAAACAATTTGCGGTTTTTTTTTTCTTAGCTTGCAAAAGCGGATGTGAAACTTTGGAAATTTGTTATATTTCAGTCAAAGATTGGGTGGATTTTGAAATGGCATGGTAGATTTTCCTTTTTGCAGCCGCAGTTAGGTGTCGGAAGTGATGTGCAAAGAGATAAGGGAAGTCCATAGCTGTATTTTTTAGTTGAACTGAATTGAGGAAGGCTGACCATATTGGTTGCACTTAATTTACTGAGCAAGAAAAATTTTCCATACCTGAATGAAGTCGAGTGGTTAACAAATGAAATATCGCAATAGTGTTGCATGCGTGCATCCGTGTGATTTAGGGTTTCGCTTTCTTTTCTCTACTTGCTTGAAGGATATGTTGACATAAAATTTGATTTTTATTGCCTATATGATGATGACAAGTGGAAGTGTAAAGTATAAATGACAATGATGATAACGAACCCATAATTCTTTGAGTCCGTTACAGCCAGTTTTGGAAAGAAAGATGATCCAATGGCTTGGTTTTTGATTGAATGATATAACCATATATTTAGTGCGCAAAACTTGTTTCGGATGTCAAACCAGTCCAAATCCGTTTAGTTTTTATCAACATTTCTGAAGGAACTCTCTGTTTTTTAAGTAAATATGCATTTGCAAAATATTGCAACGAATACCCGTATAATATTTCGAAAATTAATGAAAAATCATTGTTGAAAGAAGTAGAGATCCAGTAATGACAACATATCTAAACTACCTTGAAGTTGCACTTGCTTATCCCCAATTCTTTTCCCTATGATTTATCTTTTCACAAGATTCAAGATAAATTACCTTCACATAATGCATGTTTTATATATTTATCCTTTCATACGATATATTTTAAAAGGAACTTTGATTGAGATTCTGCTGCTGAAAATGCTTTACCACTTATTGATTTCTTAATATGAAACCGTCCAAACTGAATAGTAAAATAGAGGGTATTCGATGGAGTCGTACTGGATACGGTGAATAGATTGAGTAGTTAGTCAAATAGCTTTCTCTAGGATGAGTCGGATTTTGAAATTAAACATTTCTTGTTCTTGGCAAGAGGACTTGTGCTAATCTATAGCAGGACAACAAACATAGTTATTGTTCAGGCAGTCAATATTTGGTAATTTGCAAGTGCATGGAAAGTAAGCACTTGCAATCGGTTTATAGGACTATTTTGAGTTCATAGGACTTTTTTTGTAACTAAAAACTTTTTGCTACTTCATAATTGCATTCAATATTATCGCAACCCGATGAAAAGTATGAGCTCTACTAATAAAATGCATCAAGAAGTGGATGAGAGAAATAACTTGACCGTTTTCAGTCACACTTTCAATAACGTTTTCCATTGGAAAAAAAAATATGATTCCAATGGAGAAAACGTAGTGGAATTCCAGCAATTTTGAGCAACCACATCAGCAGTAAGAATCTGCAGTCTTCTCGTTAGAAATATCGTTCATTTATATATGACCATTATTACGAGCATAAATTGGTACCGTATTTTCCATATACCCAGCTACTAGTAGGGTCGTAAAATCCTATTAGGCGGCTAATTTTTCATACGTTATATTTTAAAGAGCAAAAGTATATTAGCTGTATTTTTGAGAGCAGAAGGCGTATGCTGAAATTTGCTCTTACCTTTGAGTTTGGTGCAATCACTATCAGACATATCCGTTCCAATATTTATGTTTCCATTGATCACACGTTACTTTCACTATATGATCAGTCATATTTTCAGAATAGCTTATTGGAAAAGCTTATACTGAAGTCAGCAACATATTCCCAGAGTCTTGCTCAAAACTGAGGCTAAATTTATCGTTATCATTTCAAAATGGTTTGAAATCAACAAATCGGTTTTATAAGCCAACATCATTTTTACAAATGGATTTGAGACTATTTGGCAAATCGAAGCGTGCAGAGTAATTTTAACAGAAATTCTCATTATCCTCGTTTTAATTCGGTTATCTACGAGTTCTTTTGCTATGAGAGCCAAGCAGAAGCTTTGTTATACAAAAAATGGAACATAATGCATATTTGCGGTTGCCATTTAATGCGGTATTTTGAAAACAGGAGTATCTACTTTATGTGTAAGACTTAGTTTGAAAAAGTGTGTGATTTTAAGATTGGTGAAACTGTCATGTACAGCATTCCAGGTTTTCGAATTATTTCGATAATTTTAAAAAAAAATGAGGACAATGGAAATGAAGTATTATCAATATCAAATCGAAACTGAACAATCTTGTCATCACTTCGCTTTATTGATAGGAACTTATGATTTCAAATGCATGTAAATTTTCGTCCCATAACGGAATTAACAAACATCAAATGATTAAGTGTTAGCGAGTTATGAATCAAAAGGAGTAGTAGCGATGTAAGTGTCTTTGTTAGGAACTCTTTTTTTGGAGACTAAATTTTAAAAAAACCAAATTACTGGGTTTCATTAAATTCATAATTGGTGTAGGATCTCGGCTTTGGAAATCCTCCTAATAAATGCTTAATGATTTAGGGCCAGTCATCAATTTTACTCGATTTTTGCTATATCACAAACAGTGAAAGAAGGATAAGGATTGGATAAGGTGAAGACAGGCAAGTGCGTATTTTCACTTTAATCCATGATTTTTAGAAGAATTTTCGCGACTGGATTGATTTCCTTGAAATCGAAATTGCATTAACTTCTCATCGGAGCTTCTAACTATGTTTTAAATGGATCTAACTGAAGAAATGAAGTTTAGCACGAAGCATAATGATTAAGTCAGGTGCAGTTTTATTACAATATGGTGGGTAACCTTGGCAACGTCTTTATTGAGAGCATTTTTGAAAACACATTTACAACATTAATTCTTTCTGGACTCCGTGATCGACATAACTATGCAGAAGCTCAAGTATATATATATGTCTGTGTATGTTTATGTGTGCATGCACGATGTATTCATTTTTTAATGTCCACATATGTTGAAATGCTCAGTTAAATTACAACTTGAATAAATGCATTAATATTAACTTTAGAAAGAGAAGTAAGGCAATCCTATAGAAAGTAAAACTTATTCTCATATCATGCTTATTCTACTGACATATCCGCATCGTGCTACTTGTATTCACTATTAATGTTCCCTATCGAGCAACATCTTTTCTAGCAGGCGAAACAATTTGTTTGCATTTTGATAAAATTATTGTTCATGGAAGTATACCATTGTTTTGTTTATAAAAGCAATTTTATATTCATGAAATAATTCAATTTTTCAAAAGAGAAGAAAAGGTCGGAAGCGAAATAGACATTAAATGTAAAATAGAATGAAATGGAAAGTCTCAGTAAGGTCTCCAAAAATATTGCGAAGTAGTTTGCAAAATTTAAATAATGATAGGTTCATGAGAAAATTTTAAAAAAGGGAAAAATAGCAACTAATGATAGGTCTATGAGAAAACAGGCTTTGAATTAAATTCCGGAAGTTTCTTTTGGGAAACCAGGAAGTGCACTGATGACTTACACGATAAGTAACGGTTTATTTCGGTGATCATTGTATAGTCTCGGGTAATGATTTGGTTAATTTCTGATTTTTACATTCCTTTGAAGGGATCTTTCATCGTCCATTTGAATCCACAGTTTCAATTCTTAGACCTCGCACGATATTTATTCATTAATCATCTGTATTTCTTCACCCGTCCAACTAACATTTAGCAATGGTAGCTCACTTTTCTTCACAAATTTATCAAAATTTTCTATTTCAAAAGCGTTTGTAAAAATGATAACTACCTTTTTCAAAACTGTGTCATTTGAAAAAATGACAATGGAAATGATTCAGAAGACTGTCATCTTTGTATTAGTTTGTGTTAACGCAACAAAAAAAGTGCTCTTGCTTAAATGAAAATGAACTTCACAAATTCATGAATAAATCATTATGATTTGATTATGCTTGTGTGGTGCTAGTGCTAGCACCGCAGCATTTCACATGGCGTACATGAAGCAGTCGTTAATAATTTCAACTTTCAGTTCTGATGACTCCAACTTCAAACTTCGTTGATATGCTTTTGTGAATTTCTTGGTTTCTTGAGTATCAAGAATATGATATAAATCATTAGCCCTTCTCATCCGTAGCTATTTTTATACTCCAGTTAGGTTTCCAAATGATGATATTAATGGCAAACAATGAAAACCGTCATTATAATCACCGTCATCAAGAAAAGGAAGCTATTTAAAACCAATTTTCTAACAATATTTTCGATCAAGCTTTTTTAAATTCACTTGCAAGAAGTCATATATTGTTAATGTTTACTGAAGTGACAAAACAAAATGGAGAAAAAGGTAAGATTGCCCGATTACTTTTGACCTCTCATTATTTGACGATTCGGTTTTCCTCGTGTGAATTATGTTCGATACATCTTTTTTAAGAATAATTTCAAACGAAATGTTAATGATAAAATCGTGCTTTTTATATTCAGAATAATTCACGCATTTGCTTCGAATGGTTCGAACATACACATGGAATCCTTCAACTCAGTCCAGTTTAACAATTATTGGTAATTTTGATAATGAAAGCGAAAAGACAGTTACCAATTCGCTTCCAGCTACATCAACAAATTTATATTCTACTCAACGCTTTTCAAATGATCCCATTTACAGACCAAATTATAAAAATGGCCAGGTAACAAATATATCTACTGCTGTTCCCAAAGATGGTATACAAAATGATATTGCGAGTTCCTCAGAAGTTTTTTTCCGCTTGTAATAGTAATATTCAATGCCCAGTGCATATGTCACAATCTCAAACAGCTTCGTTGTGGCAACCTCATTATCATTCCTTTCCAATCTGTTATCCTATTCCGCTTGATTTACCGGCCAACCTTTACCACTGGAGACCTCATCTCCTTCCACCTCAAATAACAACACCGGTTACATTTGAAAAAACAACAAACCTTAGGCCGGTAGATCTCTGGCATCTCAGGCCCATCCAAATCGGTAGTAAGGTTTATTATGAGCTGGTGAGCAGCAGTTCCACACTTTATAGTAGCCCAACATCGGTTGTACCCTATCCAGTTACATCCGCCAATTTGATAGCCATCCCAAACAATGCTCAGTTTCAAAATGTAAGTTCTTTCCACTGCTTTAAAAATGCTTTTTTTTTCCCAGTTTAATTATAGCTTCAGTTTTCGTCACTAAAATTAAGGGAAAAGCGTTTTCAATTTTGTTTCTGATTCCCAGTTTTCAGCAACATTTAGAGAGCAAACTCATACACTTTACCATTGTTTCAGACATAATAAAACATCCATCTTTCAGGGCAACCTATCTCACTTACCAACTACTGCTGTTCCAGTGTCTGCTAATAATACTTGTGGACAAAGTAAATTACTGCATTCAGAAACATGTGGCAATAATCACTCCATCACTTCTGGGTAAAGCTAAAGTCCTCGGATTATTTCCTTTTTTTAGAATTCAATAATTAAGGAAATAGAATTTTTGCTACTCTTGTTACTCTTCCAGTTATTTTTATCGCTAAAAATAGTGAGATCATAACGGCAACTGTTGTGAACATTGATGCCATCCAAAAACTGCCTTATTTTCATGTTCAAGAAATTTTCCATTATGTCCAAATTTGGTTGATTCAGTAATAATGGTTCAATAAATCTGCCATGGACTCTTGGTTCACCCCAACCAAAAAGTGGAATTCACGGAACCCCTTCTTGGCAGACACCTCTCTTGATAACAAAAGAAGGCCTCATCTTTGATAGGGTTTGTCACTACTTATGCACTTAAATTCCTATTTAACAAATGTCAGTTTGATAGGGTGAAATACTTTGTAACAGTTATACAAACTAATGCCGTCGAAGAGACATTTCTGTCCAGATGAGTAACTTTTTCAACTTTTTGGTTTGTCCATTTTTCTTGATTAGAAAAATTTATGGTGTGACTTGAGGACACAGTTCAAGGTCAGAATGAAAAGTATGGGTTATCTTCCAATAAGTAGACAAACACTTACTTTTATGTTCGCAAAAATGATGGAAATACAAGTGCAGAAGTTGACTCTTTTTCTTCAGTAAAATACGCTATTTGATATCAGGTGATAATATCTTTAATGTAATTTTTTTCTTTTGACTACTTGATTTCAGGAGACCAACGAAAGTTCAACTATTTCCACTTTCCAAAATCCACCGTTCCTAATTTCTCCAAGTCAGCAGCGTCAGTCGAATTATTTTCTTAGCAATTTAGTGAAAAATAACTACATATTTTCTGCTCCTCACAATAATTTGTACAAATTTTCACAAAGAAATTTGAAAACCAGAAAACTGCTACCAATAATAAGAACTTTATATTGGTTTAGAACATTCTTATATCAAAAGAAGTAATTTTCCATATAAAATTAATGACCACTGCTGTGTAAGAGCAGTATGTAATATATCTTTAAATATCCCCATAATGTCAGAGTAATCAGAGTGAGAGTAGGGAATTATTCATGTAACAAACTTCCAGTAGACGGTAATTTGTATCAGCATTCTCCATTACACAAGATAACACCTTCATTACAACATCAGTGCTACCGGAAAGTGGCTACTGTTGATTCAACAGAACAATATAAACGTGACTTGCAATTACAAATTGAGCAGAATCGGCAGCGTAAAGAGGAAGAACGACAACGTGAACTGGAAATAGAAAAAAAAGAAATGATAAAGTAAGCTTATGCTTAGGTAGAAACAATTATCAATGTTTAACAAGGTTAGTTACACGTATTCAACTTACTGCCGTATGCCATTTTCACTGTAAGAGCCTCCCCAGTTGATTTCAGAGTGGAATCTTTTTCAGCCTAGCAGTTTTTGTAGGTTCGAGGAGTACAGACGGAAAGCACAGCAAGAGATTGAAGAAGAAGAGCGTAAGGAAAAGGAAAAAATATTGGCAGCACAACGCAGAGCAGCTAGAATGCGAACCTTACAGGAAGAAGCGGCATTAAAGGCTCGTCGTGAAGTAAAAAATCGTATCAGGCGTGATGTATGTTGCAGTAACGGTCAGTGTAGTACTATTACAAAGAAAATAGTATTGATGATATTTTTGATAGAATAGTGTAGCAGTTGCTATGATTTGACAAATTCCTCTAGACAAACCGTTCCGATTTAGACGCTGGAAATCGATTTTCCGGGAAATGTATTTTTTCTTTTTTTTTTTTTTTTCCTAGAGGGTACAAAGACGTTGGAAGGAAGAACATCTTCAACAGTCGAACTGAATCACCTGGAATGGTGGGAGAAGAAAAAGGAACATGTGAATGATAATGCACAAAGATCAACTCATTCACCGGTCATTCCAACTCTTCGGTTTGTTGTTACAATCCTATCAGTCTTGGGATAGCTCACAATGGATAAACTTTTAAACTGAGATAACATCCGGATGTAAAGCATTTCAACTACTCCAGATTCCAGTCGGAAATGTCGGAATTCCTATTACTGTCATCAGTGTTTGGTGTTGAATGCATCTATTTCTGAAAAAACTTTCAGGAAGAAGAATGAAACTTCTACTGGTCTTTCACGAAATACAGCCTTTGAAATATCAGCGAATAAGGCAGGTGTAACCAGCTGTGTTCGATCGGATCGATCTAATAAATCACATTCATCATCAAGGTAATGTTGATGAATACAACTAAATGAATATTTTTCGTTGTGTCCCAACCTTTTTCTAGAATTCGTTTAAATATTTTTTCATGATGCAAAAAAGCATAATGGTTGGGAAACATCAGACTGTGCTGTGGTAAAGTTCGGAAAGCTTCAAACAATTGAAAAAGATACTTTCACGTATTGATCGACCAGGTAGTCCGATCATGAAATGATATGATGGTCATGTCTTATAGGTCTACTATGTGATTGAGTATTGAGCATGATCCACTGTTAATTGAGCTTTCATAATCGCTTCCTTAGTTATGTTCCGCTCAAATACGCTAATTTTTGCAGATTAAATCGACGCTGTTATCATTCATCCCTGACTTCAAGGCGGAACAACAGTTCGGATTCAGTAGGATTTCGTAGGAAAAGCTCTCACATTCACTAACAAAATAAATCACCATCGAGCAGTTTACAATGAATGAGCAATTTGGCCAGTTATTTATTATTGATACTTCAGTCTTACCGGAACAAGAAAATATCTGTCAGTGAGTGAAAGAAACGAGTAAAATCAGTTAACCAGTAGGTTCAAAATACAGGAAGTACAACTTTCTATCCCCGCATATCTCGGCGTAAATTTAACATTGAGCAGAATTTTAAAATCAAATTTACAGCAAAGATAATGAAAGCGAACTGAAGTATGAGGCACAGAGTTCACGTATTTTACGAATCAACGTCTTGGAACGGGTGAGGGTTTCAGCCAATTGGCCAAAGACTAAGAAAAAAGATATATTTAACAAATTTTTGTTGAAATGGAACATTTTGTCATCAAATAATAGACGACATTTTATATGAAATGCAGAAATTCACTACTCACATATCCCATCACACTGGAGAAACCATCAAAATTAAGAGTTCAAAGTACGCAGTCTTTTAAACCTAACACAGTATTAAAAATATGTCTTTTTTTTGAGACTTGTCGAGTTATTTATCAGATATTCCGATTGATATGACTATGCTTGCATTTTCCCCAACAATCAGGAGGGTGTAATATCCTGTTCAACAAAAAAAAAAAACTCTTTCTAATGAATTTTTTTTTCTACTTATTTATTTACTCTTATCCACCAAAATAGCAATTTGTTCGAAATCAACAATACAAGTAACCTCCAGCGTCTCTCACCTATTTTCTGTCAGCTGTCAGTGATCCTAGAATGGAAACAATGACTGCAATTTTCTAACTTAAATTAACTATAAATTGAACGATACTGACTGGTTTTTCGATATCAACATGGCTGTTATAGAGAAGATTGTATTTCTTATCCAATCATTTCATTAGCAGCAAACGTTAGTAACAAGAGTGTTCCAAAACCAAAAATATGAAGGGAATAGATGAACTGATTTGAGGAAAGCTTCTTTATTTAGTCAACATTAAATATTAAATGTTATGTTCTATTCTGAGGAGAAAAATCTTAAGAAAAAGAAAACTATAATACGCAATAAAAAAAAAACCAAAATACTGACATTTACACTTTGCACCTTGCATTAATGAATACGTTTACATGATATTCATTAGGATAAGCTGCGGGAGACGAAAAGATCCAAATGATGGAGGTGCACTTAGTATAGAGAAACCGATGTTAATCCAACAGAAATTAAGACAGCCGGTATATGTAACACATATTGACTCCCTTAGTCCCTGCTGCATACAAATATAACATAAAACATTTCATTGATATCCTACAGACTTACTATAAAGCATGAACAAACGGAAATCTGACGGTTTACGAATGGATAAACGAAAACATCAACTCACTTGAAAATTCGAAAGACAATTAAATTTTCAATAAAATCCACTCCACTTGTCATAATCTTCATCTCTACTTCAGTCCAGCAAGCCACAGGTCCCGGTGCTACCTAAGAATCGTCTTTTCAGTCCCTTTGAGATCCAATGTTTGCATTTCGCGTCCATGCCTTATGCTTGGCGCGACTTTTGAAATTTCAGTTCATTTTTAGCGCCCGATTTTGATTGAGGGCGTCAATGAAAAATTCAAAAATGTAGCAGTTGATACCTTGGATCGTTTGCGGAAGAACTCTCAGGTTTATTATTGTCTCATCAATTTTCAAAAAATGTCAGTGTTATGCAAGTTTCATCCGAAATAACATCTTTGAAATTTGCAGGCTTTAATTGGTCTAGCCCTCGTACTTTTGCACGATCCACTAACAAAATATCTTAGTAGTGAAAATGACAGTCAGTTTGCAGCCCTTGCGATTTGCAGACTGAGCGATAAATTAGCAGGAGTAGAAAATAGAATTTATATGGATCCCTCACAACAGGTAAAAGTGAGATACCACAGGTAGATTTGCGTGCTAGATTATGAAATTCTCCCATTCAACTTCATTTCTACTGATTTGGCAGCTATTCATCGCTGGTATCAAATTATACTTTATAATTCAGACTGTGAAAGTACTTTCACAGTTTTTTATATATATATAATTTTTATGTATAAGAATATCTCAACTTCTTCCTGTTGAAACACGAAATTCCATATCAGAAATTTATGGCATTTTTTTAGGTTTCTTATCTTATTAAAGAAGCGAGTGACCCAGAAAACCTTGCTCGAATGTTTGCTGGATGGATGCCTTTTCTGTAGGGGAAGTGCGGCGTTCCTTTTTTATTCTTGTACTAAATTTTTCATTGCGTATTTGAAATATTATCTCACTTTAAATTTATCGAGTCTTTTTTAATGAAATATTTATTCCCTTTTGAATCTGTTTGTACAATTTTTGAATTTTGCCCGTCGACAAAATGATCTGTGAGAGTGTGAAAAATATACAGAATGGAACTGAGAAGAATGTTACAAGCTGTCGATCGGTTTAAGCATAACAAGCAATGTATATCTTGAACTTCAAATCTCTTTTAATTAATCGATGGCTGAATGAGATTATAAAATTATCGTCAAACTCCAACACATCCCCAAATATTGTGACAAAAAGGGATGAACGTTCGAGTTTTTGCAAAGATTTTTGTGTTGGATTTCTCGCTTAATATTTGCTGCTCAATTATAACAAGCTGGTTCGATTGTGTTTCAGTCTATTGCTAAAATTCATCAAATATTGATCTGAAATCAAGTTGTGGGGTAAAGGCTTTGCAGGCTTCGAGAATTTATCGTATTAATGGTCGAACCACTGTTATGATGAAAATTTCATGACATCGGGATAATCATTGTGAATATCAGTAATAAAGTATAAGTGAAGTATAGGTCTTCGAAGAATCAGAAGAAAATGTTATTATTCTGAAGTTCCTTTCATCTTCGTCCCACCGTTTTGAAAATAATGAGCTTTGAACGGTTTTCATCAAGAGTGTGCAGCAACTCAGTGCGATGTTTCTACTTAGACTGAAACGACTGGACGGCCCTTCTCAAAGTTCACAATGCTGATCACCAAATTCTGTTTGTTCGTCCGCTTACTTCAGCCAGTAATCGGATTCCTAATTTCCATGTCTTCGAAAAGTGTAGAGCGTCCCACGTTCTATTGATTGAAACGCCCAATCTGGTTATTCCCAGGGAAACATTTCAATTTTCAGGAAATCCAACTAATTCAATATATCAGTTATTGGTTGGTTCCCAGCTCAGTTGAATAAATGAAACGAGCTAATTTTATTTATATCCTACGACCGAAAAGCTCAATGTGATATAATTAGGTATCCTGCGAGCAATATTCAAAATGATACTAATTTTTCTAAACAGAGTTATTCAATTTCTGCATGGCTCTTTATCCTGTATCTTATCTCAGTTTCTTAAAGTGCCACAACCAAATCTTTGAAATCATAATATTTTTCTATAACCAAATCTAATTTTGCTTTATGCTTTAAAATTCGTCGAATTTTTAGATCACTGATAAAGATTTTGTAATAGTTTATCGTTTATTTC